ATTAATGTTATCTCAGAGAATATCTTTCACTTGACATTAGCATAGAAACTGTTAAAGCCCATAAATGGAAATTACAGGTGTTGTACCCTTCCTTATTCTCCTGCTTAATTAAAAACAACATTTGTTGTGGAAACCAGGCTAGTGGGATGGTGTTTAACTCGATATATACAAATGGAATCACTGTTGTTTGTGACTGATGTTTCTTTTGCTTAACTTACAGCTTTTCCTTGACGGCTTGATGAAACATGATGGTGACAGTGGAGCGTGGCAATGCTTAAGGCAGACCTTTCATTCCTGAGCCCACATCGTCTCTGGCCTCACCAGCTACGAGAAGCAGAGCAGCCGAGCCAGCAGCGAGCCTGAGGAGGTCTCTGTGTTAACGTGGTCAGGATGGATCAGCGTCAACATGTGCGGCTTTTGATGAAACAGCAAGCAGTAAAAAGACACTCTGCATTTGTCTGTATCACTATCGAAAGGAACATCTACAGTATAACGGATAATGAAAATGATAGTGTCCATTTCATTCATGGATGTTGAAAACAGCTAAAAAACGTATTTTTCTTTTCAGTTTAGATGAGACGATGTCACATCTGGCCTCAAACAGCCACCATCCCACTTTTTTTAAATTAAGAAGCCTTTGCATGTTAGCTGATACTGACCCCAAGATCTACAAAAACTTGAGAAATTGGAAGAAGTAAAGGGAGTTAACACTGAACCACTGAAGTGAAACCTAAATAATAAGCCTGGACCTGAGACCTTCAGACATTAGGAGCTCTGAAACAAAGGCCTGGACTGCTCCTTTGCCAAGTCTGTAACATGAGACTTGGTAGAAACCGAGTTATCTTCTGAATGGACCAGGTCAGAGAAACCTGAACCCCCCCTTTAGACTGATAATGAGCAAAAAAAAAGTTGATCAGCTGGGTTGACCAGATTGACATGAGCTGCTAAAACTCTCATTATCCAGTTTTGTATACCAATCATTTGGTTATTAACCAAAGAATTCTGGTCTTAGTCGAACAGGGACAGGAGATGAGCAGCGGAGGGTGGGAAGAGTGGGAATAAAATTTCAGGCCACAACAGAGCTCTTGTTGTTCATTCCCACAGATGGATTCTGAGAATATCAGTCCACAGGAAACATTCAATAGGGAATCATCAAAAGAGCATTGACCACTGGGGATGCAGTCTCTACACTAGAGGATTCCAACATTAAGAGCACATATTTGGAGCCACAGAGTAAAAAAGGAGCCCACACTATCCTAGGGAATACATCATACTGTTCTCATGTGTTTCCAAATTGAGGACCACAGCTAATACATGCCATTCTGCATATACTCGAGTTGGAAGAAGTAATTTATGAGTAAAGCAACGTCTTATTGCTTCTAAAAACATCAGGGGCGATGACTATAGATACGTTAGTTAAGTTTAAATGCGACTTCCCAGTCACAATTTCACACAGCAAATATGTGAATGAGCTGCAGCAATATCCACCAATGCTTCAGTATTTTGTCGAAATGAAGCAAAACGAAGGAACTCTGGACCATGTGCCCCCCCCCCCCCCCCGGGCCCATTTGGTTCTGGCTGAGTGCTTTTGACAGGCGTGATTTAACCTCCAACCATATCAGGGTTGTTTTGATCCGTTTCTGAAACATGTTTAACTGCTTGGTTGCTGTCCTTTTTGTTGTTGTTTTTGGTTGGAATAAACGTATTTTGCTTGTTTCATTTAAACTTGCTTCAAGTTGAATGCGTAATGAAGTTGAATCTGATGCTGGCACTGCAGAAATGGGAGCTTTTTATGCAGAGTTTTGCAGTCAGTTTATCCTGATCTGCCAGAACATTGAATCGTCTGCATAAAACAAGACCCCAATAAGTCACAAAAGAGTGGGCGGGGAAAGAGGGGCTTCCTCTGGTGTGTAATACACCCAATGCTTAGGATCCTCTTAGTTCTGTGGGTTGCTGGGCAACGCCTCTGTAAGTTGATCAGATCTATCCCTTGTAGGCATCATGAGATTGTATTTTATTATCCTCCTCTAACAAGTGTTAAGCAGCTTTTTCCCCCAAAGTTTATTGTCATTATTTGTCCACTCGAGCTTGATGAGTTAATCATCTGGGATGATGAATCCTCTATTAATAGGAGATGTTTCACGTGTCACTTCCTGTAGCTGCTGGCTAACAGTAGGTGGAGAGAAAGCAGGGATAGGCAGGCAGAGGGTTTAGGGATACAATCCTTAATCTTAATTATTTACTAAAAAACAACACTTTATTATTTGTTCCATCAAAAGTTCTGCAAATGACAGCAGAAGAAGAAAGATTTATATCTTTAAAAAATCCCTTTAATTCTCGGCAAGCTATCAGTCTGAAAGCAAATGTAATAGAGGAAATCCACCTTTTCTCAGAAGCTGATGCAGCTTCCTGGTGTGTAAATGAAACGTATGAGACGTTCTTCGGTCAAAATAATACAGAGACTCCACAGATGCTCTTATCTGAAGTAGCCTGTCGGATGAGAAGTGAAACGTATTTGAGGTCCAAGAAGAAGCTCGGTAACCGTTACTCAGGATTATCATGATTCCTGAGAATCTAAACCTACACAGTCTAATGGTTTGATTAACAGAGGGACATAGAGTGTCTGAGATCTGGAGAGTTTAATAACCGTGAGAGCACAATCTCAGTAAGACGAAGAATAATGTGAGAGTTCAGGCAATACACGAGTCTGCTATGTAAAATAAACAGGAAATTTGATTCTCAAATACCTTTTTTTATATGTGAGACTGGACCATGGGCAGCTGGTAGGGAACTGGGCCCTCTTTTAGGCATAAAATAAGTGTGAGCAAGATGGAACAGAGTCTGCCCTGTGAAAAACATTACTGAGAACCCATGTCAGAATCCTCTTAATAACAACTTTGACCTTGTTCCATCAATGGTGATGGCAAATTAAAGGGAATTCCTCTAACTAGTATAAAAAACTAAAGAAAGCAATCTCGATGTGGATTTCCATGTTGGGTTATAAAACATTAAAGTACTGGCAGAACATTAAGAGTGCATCTATTTTGCAGTCAGTCATCATGAGACTAATGATGATGCTAATAGCAAAGCAAAAAACAAGTCATCTCGAGTTGCATTTAGGTGCAGAGAGAGAATAACCGCCTTCGTTAAAAGCAATTTGCACTTACTCATCCACAACCACAGTGAAGACTGTCAAAAATATTCCTAAACCAAGAACAACATTGAGATAAATCAGCCTGACCCAAAGTCATCTCATTCCAGAAGACATTTGAGCTAGTTTAAAGTGCCACAAGCCTTTAAAGCTCCTGCATGGACCATATCCTCCCCCCTCCCTAGTCATAAAAACATGTCAATCTGATTTTATGTGTACGTTATAAATGTAACAACCTATCAAAGCCCATTCCCCCTGGTTGTTGCCTAACTGCCATGTGCACTGGCCCAGTCACACATCCTCCACTACAGGAACAGCAGGGAGAGGCTGGCACAGAGCAGCTGCAATCCCATTGGCTAATGCAGTGTCAGCAGACATCAGAAGATTGACCTCATTGGTCAGTTGTCAGTACCAGGGCATGGACAGCTCCTACTCACTGCTACCACATTGTCTCCCACTCCCCCAATTACACACACATGCGCACACGTGCACACACACACACGCCTCTTCTGAATGAATAAGAATGAAAGTGGTCTAAAAGTAGCTCCAGGAGTTTTTCTCCGAGGTTCTCCGAAGTTTGAGCTATAGAAAATGTCTTAAGTGTCACCTTTTTCTGATGCAACTGAAAGTGAAGACAGTTAAGTCCACAGTTACAGCTTCCACTCACTATGTGCTCCTTAAAAAAACATTTTTTTAAACTGTGGCAACTAATGAGCTTACTGTAACTTTAGGCATGACTCATGATGTTTCCTCGGTAGCAATTTCTCAATCGATTCTCCAGTCAGATCATGCAAAAGATGGACCTGCAAACGACCTGTAGGCCATGAATCACTGCACACAGTCCAAAAAGCAATACTTGTTTTACAGAGAAACATCATGACGAGATAACATCTCAGGTCCGTCACGGCAGACACCAACCTGAGCAAACACCCACACCTCTCAGTTTTATTCAGAATTCCAAGTCAAGGTTCTAAGTCATGTGTCATGATGCCAGTAACTTTGTTTAGTCGATTTACTTGTTGAAAGCGACATATTAGGAATTCCATCCTGGTGGTTTTTTAGAAAGCCTTAAACTGAGATCAAATCAAATAAACAAAACAAAAAAAAAGGCTGGTGGCGGATTCACTTGGGTCCATTTTCTCTGATATCTCCTATAAAATGGAAAATCATTTCACATCAATACAGACAGACATACTTTTTTTTTAACGAAAAGTTCAAATTAAAAGAAAGAAAAGCCAGACTTTCAGTCCAGAATAACCTTATGATATCACACAGGATCCTCCATTTTTCAGGCTCCTGAAAAGTGCCAGGAAATTAAATGGAGAAGAGATATACGTGAGGTCTTACGGATCAGGCCATCTCAGTGTGAAGGACAGGGAAAAAATGCATTTTCCTGATGAGCAAATGGGCAGTGTGGCTTCATAAACTACTAGTCCGGTGACTGAGTGGACGAGGCAGCTGGAGAACGGATGACCTTTCTAATATGGTACCGGCAGAATAAATCACAGGACATCAAGGACGAATCCAGAAAGGATGCACGACGCTACGCTAGCCCGGGAAAAAACAGACGGAAGTGTGGCCGAATAAAGGTGTCCGCGAGCGGCCGGAGGAGGCCCGTGTGTTTCCCTCCCTTCGGTCGTGTCCGTTTATTAAAACCACGTCCGGTAATTTGCATATGATGACAGAGAGCCGGAGCCGTTGAACGCGGCTGTATTTAATTACGGTGAGCCTAGGTTGATGCATGTGTCCAAACACGAAGGCTTCCAGTTCAATTTTAGCACGAGGTAGATCCCCGGTTACGGTAATGTGGGATTAAAAACGAGGCGCTAACGCTACGGAGCGGACTCACCAGTTCTCCTGCATCCACCGGATGGCTTCGTCCTCGTTGAACTGCCTCTCGAATTCATATTCTTGGAGAGCTAACACCGACATGCTCGCTGTGCTCGCGTTTCTCTCTCGCACCGCTGAAACAAGACGATAGTCGGGGACGAGGCTGTTTTTTTGTGTGTTTTCTCTGGTCTCTTTCAGCCCGTAACTCGCATCGCTCGCGCCACTGTCAGGACCTCGCGGTAGTGCGCGAGCCACTCTCCAGTCCCTGCACTTTCCTCCTCCGCCACCGGTCGACCGAGCCTACGCCCTCTTCCTGAACCGGGTCAGCCCCGGGTCCTAGCGCCCTCCATGTTCCCTCCGGTTCGCAACTCCAAAATTTGTGGGGCGGAAGTCCCACTTTAGCAGAATGAACCACCCCGAAAAACAAAACCAGGCTCTTCAGAATGTGTTAATTAAGAAATTGCTACAACAGGATAATCCCTTCACTCCCCCTTTTCTTTTAAAAAAACAAACAAATATTTTGATAGGAAACTGGACGTGGAGTTTTCTAAAAGACGTTTTGTCTATCATCTAAGAAGCTTAATGAGTTATGACTGATGGTGGGGAGCACTGAAATTAATATACTGTTGGTGTAACAAAAGAATTAAGGCAAAACAAAAAACAAAAAACGGGATGGGCCATAGCCAGAAGATTCAACTCTCACTTCAGAGAGGTATGTGACCGAAACCACTCTGGTGAGGGAGTTAATGACCCACCAGAACCACCTAAAGGCCATTTACACTCCCCCAGGTGACCCCCATGGCCCATCCAGTAGAAGGGACCAGAGCCACCTTTTTATTTTTTGTTTTTCCTTAATTCTTTCGTTACACCTACAGTGTATCAATCTCAGTGCTCCCCACCATCAGTTAGAGCTGATGAAACCTCTTGGATGACAGGTGAAACATCTTTTAGAAAACTTAATAGAACTGTCCGAGCTTGACCCCGACCTGGATGACTGAGAATCTTCACAGACAAATTTTGATCACACCCTCTGTGAGTTTACATAAATTCAAGCTTCAAAACAGGGCTGTAAAAAACATCACAGGCCCTTCCATTGGAAACTGTGGAAACTTTGCCACAAAACGTACAACAGCTACAAACTATTTCCTAGCAAGTTCCTCAAGTCTGTAAATAGATCTTGCTTGACTGCCTGCACCTTCAATTACGCCCCTTTCGTCACCCTCAAATTCTTTTCACATGAGCAGTTGGCCAGCGATTACAGCATACTTGGCTTCATCAATACAGTCCATTTATTGTCAAGGGATATGTATGACTCAGAATCTTGTGGATCTTGTCTCATGTCCAGGTATCTGTGGACATAAAAGCAGCTTCTTGGTTTCTAGGTGAGGAAAATAATTGCTTTTGTAAAGATTTGCATCTGTCCCTGAGTTTCAACTAAGGGAAGGACCTGGGGTGTATTTTCTTTAAAGTGACACAATCATTTCCATACCAAACAGCCGATTGGTTTGATGTTCTTGCTGCAGTTTTACCTGCAAGTCCCTCCGTGGTCAGATATACACCTGTCCAACTGTGGAGACTTTAGTTTGGATGGTCCCTCCTGTCCAGTTATCGGCATCACACGAAACCCAGAACACAATAATCACTCAGATGCTCCATTTTCGGCTCAAAGTTTGATAATTTTCTGCCAAAGTTCAGAGTTCATTTGAGTCATGTAGGACAATGTTGTGTACATTTTATTTTAAAACAAAAGTCTGAGTCCATCTGAGGAAGTAAGAAATAGAAATGTATTAAAAAGGAAAAAAGGGAAAACCTCCTGAAGTGAGAGCAGCCAGCACGACCATAGAAGTGGTTGATATGACGTACCGAGCTGCCCTAAAGTAAAACAAATCATGGTGCATTTTATACCCCTCTGAGTCTGAAATAAGACGTAAAGTCCGTCCTTCATTCTAAAATTAGACGTAATGTCTGTCCTTCCTCCTGCATCTGTAATAAACAATCCTCCAGACAAAAGATTGTTAGACAAAATACTAGGGGGACCTTCCCTGAGACCTTCAATTGTGGAAAGTTCCCAGAGAGAATTTAAGAAAGTGATTATACATATATTGATTTCCTTAAAGGACAATTCATTTAAATGCTTCACAGAACACTCTGTAAAACAGCTCAGGAGGTTGATGAAAATGTACTCAAATCAGATCACAAATGCTTTGTCAAAATCTGGATGGATAACAGATCAATGAAGCTTTGATTGGAAAAAAAGAGTCCTGATTTTTTTTGTTTAAAATATTTACTTTGGGAGAATTCACATCAGTGCTTGATGGTGAACATTCTGACAGGAACTCCTTTTGTAACGTTGGATAAGCTTGGGGCTTTAGTCACCGGGTCAGGTATACAAAAACAGTTTGGTCCAAAATACATGACACATGGGGAGGATGTTCTTTTATTTGTTCTGTCTGAGCTGAGCATGACAAGCACGAATCAAGTTGAACAAGTTGGGTGAGAACATTCTGAGTCCCCGGGGAGAATTCTCCGCTTTCACCGTCAGAGGTTGAAAAGTTGAGGAGATCTTTAAATTCCACTGACAACTTAATTAGGTGTTTATTGCAACTTTAAAACTAGGTCAGTTTGTGACATATTTCAAGTTAATTGAGTACCTTTTGAGACATAGCTGTCCCTGACAAACACACAAAGGAACGTGGAGATCTCTTTCCTAATCTGTCTTCCTCTTGACAGATGTATCGCTGTATCACGCCATAATTTGCTGTTATCCAACCTTTTTCAGCAACGGTTGAATAATAGTTTTATTATCTTATCGAGGTGAGATTTTGCTCTTTATCGGGCATAAAGGCAAATAGGTCGGGTGGCACCACATGAATGAACTTTCACCCAGATATTAACAGCGAGGGTTCATACTTACTCACACCTTACCTGTTTCCGCCCGCTTTGAATGTTATCAGCGCAATAAATGGCCTTTATTACGAAAAACCAGGTGTCGTTATGAAGCACAAACTCACTGAGGGAAATTCTGCTCTGCCCAGAGTCTCATGCACACGAACGGGCGAATCTCTTCAACGTTACATGGTATTATATTTAACTAAGGAACATGCTTTTGATTTCTGTTTGAAGAGTTAATCTCAGATCAGCATGTTTACTTTAAATTAGTGTGATAAAACATAGAAAGAGATCTTGGATTTTAAGTCATAAGTATGAAGTTGACTATGAGAAAGTTGCATTATACAACAGGTTCAGTCAGCTTTTACTGATCAGTGGAGGTGGATTACATGCAAATATTACTTTAATAAAATTAAAGAAGCCAAGAACAAATATCACTATGAATAGGTTGAATAGAGAATAAAGCAGCTGGTGCACTATCTAGCCTTTGCTATCACTACTATGACCAACAAAATCTTGTCGCTTGCAATGAGATTTTGCTTTAAAGAGATTAGCGGTGCATCAGATGCGTGTCCTCAAACTGCAGATAAGAGAAATGAATGTTTCTGACAACAGCATTGTCAGGCAAATATTATCCAAAGGGCTTTGAATGTGGTCTGAGCTCTCAGGCTATTGACTGTACGCTCTCACATTGTGATACTGTGTACAGGGATTATTGAGTAGACTATCACAAATCTCAAATTAGGTAGGGCACCATTGAAATGATCTGCTTGTTTGGAGATGTAAATTGTAGAAATAAGAGGAGCGCCTCTACTGGATTTATGTGTAATTTAAACCACATTGTGTCACAGACATTCAGTTTGGACCTCTGGAAATGGTGCCAGTGTCTGTAAAAAGACATGTTCCCTTTGTTTATTTGCTTCAAATCCAGATATTTGCCATAACTTCACATGTTTTTTACAGGATAAAGCTGAGAATATCCAAATTCTGGAATGGATTAAATGCAGGAGGCATAAGACTGAGAGCATTTCCGAGATTTGAGGCGTCTCCACTGTAAATGGAGCCTCCATTAGTCAACAGGAGTTTTTCTGGTGTGGTGACCAGAGCAGAAACTGATTCTCTTCTGCCAGTGACTTCCCGAGGTTCTAAGTTGCTTCATTTCCAAGTCAGGGCAGAGAACCTGTTTAATCTGTATGTGAACACAATGCTAGGAACAAAACAGGTTTCTAGTGGAATTTTTTTACCACTCTTAAAAAAAAATACAAAGGACAAAAGAGAGAAGAATGTTTAGCAGTAAAGAGGTGAGTCATGGGTGACTTGAAGCAGCACCGCTGCTCCCTGCTGAGCAGAGTGCAACTCCAGTGGGAAAACTGACAGCAGATAAGGGAACGAAAACAAAAGGAAATGGTGGCAACCGTCAGATCCTGAAAAAAATGTTTAAGCAGTCAAGTATTTTAGATGAAAATGGCAGTTCCCATTTAGATAAAGGAAAGCAGTCATGTTTGCCAGCGAGGTATTCTGTCACTCCGTTATGGAGCTTTCTTTCTCCCATTGTTCTCAATAGAACAGGTTTTTAAACGTTCTCTCTGAACTGACTCATTACCACAGCACATCTCAGAAAGTTAAGCATAACATCGAATCAAAAGTTGATTCGTGTCTCATTTGAATCCTCTAAATAAACTGTGACCTGAAAGAAAACATCTTCTACATTAGAAGTTGGATAAAATCTTGAATAAAATCTGTCTCCCAGTTTAAGACTGCCGACAATCCAAAGGCAAGATGACACTTTGCTGTTGCCTGGATAGTAAACAGGGCTGACGTCTTTTAACTACACTGCAGCTGCTCATTTCTCAGTATTTCACACCCACACACTCAATTCTTTGTAAGTGGAATGAATCCCTTTTTTTTTTGACACGCTGAGAGTCTTCAGCTGTAAGATTTACAGCTCACACGGACCACAAATCTGGGCCTCTGGAGGTATCATGTCGTTGAATCTACATCCCTGTAGCAACAATGGAACGTGGATGGAGATGAGGTGTTTCTGTGAACAGGTTTATTCGTTACATTTTCATCATCATACATAACGATGTATACACTATTCTTGTCGACATAGCAACCGTACCCAGCCAGATGCACTGCCAATAACAGGATTACATCCATTTGCAGCTCATTAGAGCTAGATTCTAATAGATCATATTGACACACTGGATCATTTAGCACTGGACAAAGCATTAGAACGGAGGAGAATTTTATGTATTGTCTAAAGCCGTGAGAGCGCTCTATGATTTATGGAAGCAATTTTTTTTTTTGCATTGGCATTTTGTTTTAAATGCTCCGTTTTGACTTGTTATTCCACATCAGGCGTGTTTTCTGCAAAGTTAGAAGATGCGTGTGGAACGCAAGTCCCAGAATGTGCATGTGAAATAGTTTCTTCGGGGTAAAGATGAACATAGCAACTGCGGGTGTGCGGGGAGCGATGAGGCCAGCTGCCAGGTACCTGCCGGTATCCGTCTAAATAAATCCGGTCCCCTGAGTCGGCTGAGGGAACTGCACTTACGTTCTTGCACCTTTTCACATGAGCTCTCTTTCTCCCTCGCTACCTAATTAGTCTTCTGAAGATCTCCGGCTTTGGAATTGCATCATTACTTTCTCAGGGGTCTCGTGAGTGTCGTTTCACAGCAGAAGTTGAAGGTGCGACCTCTCACCTGTCTGTCTGAACGGATCGTCTTGGTGTTTTCCGGCAGAACATCTGCCGCTGGGGGTGAGAGGTGAACGCGCACAGCAGCTGGGACCACTTCATCCTCTGAGCGGCTAACAAATCTCATGTGTCAATGGTGAAACACACAAATTGAGCTTATCATTAAATCCATTGTCATCAATGTTCGTTTAACATATTCATTCAAAGTCATTGTTTTCAGCATAACGAGAGACTAAAAACTAAAAGCAGGGCCTCTCCTAAGGGGAATTTGATGGAAAAAGAAGAAAAACTTTGCAGAAATTGCTGTGTGACATTACTCAAAACCATAGAGCCACAAACTGTGGGTGTGCGTGTTTTCCTGTTGCTTTTGCTGGGGGTAATGAAAATAAAAGTCTGCCATGCCATCCACTGTTAATAAGAATAAATGTGTTTTGCTGGTGTGCACCAGTCTGTAAATGGTGCCGATTCATTAAGTTTACATCATGTTGATTGGAATATTGGTCACTCACACGGAACAATTTGCAGGCATGTTTAAAGCAGTTGGGATCTACAGTGAAACAAATGTTTTTACAGAAAGAAAAATCTGCCAAAATGCAAAATTTAGGAAAATTCACAAAGCATTTTTCATGGTGCACTGCAGAGGGCTGAGTTGAGATATCTCTGCAAGCCTCCTTGGACAGACCTTTTATCCACACTCCCACAAGAACAGCCAGTAAAGACAATGAGGCCAAAGCACCGCCTGGAGACTCACTGTCACCGCAACGCCGCTGGTGATGAAGAGCGATGTTACAAGGTGGTATTTGAACTGCAATGGATGTGAAGACAATGTAAGACAATGTGGTCTCATTCAAAGATTCTACTAGCTGGAAACAATTGTGTCGACTACAATAGAGCCTTTATGTTTTCAGGCTTGACTTCTGTCTGACCTCCATCCATCCATTTTCTTTACCCACTTAATCCAATTCAAGGTCCTGGGGGTCCTTCGGGTGGGCCGTTACCTATTAACCTAAAACGCATGCTTTCCAGGCAGGACATGCTGAAATGCTGATATGCTAATCATGATAGCATTTCACATAATTGTCTTATTTGATCCAGCTAATAACATTTGACTTCCACACCTTCAAAGTCAGCTCTAAATGGATCAGAACAGAAAACTGCTGCTTCATCATTCGAAGATTTTACTTAGGAGATTTAGTAAGTATTTGAGAAAAAAACTAATAAAGCAAACGTCCACCAGAGTGAAAAAAAACAAAAACAGTTTCATATAAACAGTTAAAATCACGCTTCCTTGGAAATGACATTCCAAAAAACAACATTCTCGATGAATAATTTTGTTTATGTCAGAATAACTGGAGGCCTTACTGCACACTGGTTTGTGCAAAATATCAGTTTACCCCTTTTTTAAACTCAGCATTGTTCAATACCCACTTATACTCCAAATATTTACCAACTGATTTTATATGATCTTCAATGCACAAAAAAATTGGGTTTTTTTTAACCAATATTTGGACTCCAGAAGCTCAGGTGAGTATGACGAGCATAAATTATTGGTTTCAGCATCACAGAATTACAAAACAGCTGGCATCTGTTTTTTAAAAGCCTCATTGCACCACAAAGAATCAGATATCTCCAGATAACCTATGACCATGAAATGTCCTCTTAAGAGTTCAGTGCAGCGTGCTGTAAACTGCTGATGTTGATCTGTGCTGAAACCTGCTTGGGGGCTTGTATATCCCGTTTTTTTTTTTTTCCTGTTATGCTTCATCATTTCTTCTTCTCAGACACTACAGTCAGTACGAGGCTCGCACACGGGGTGTGACGTACTCCTTATCTTCACCTTTGACAATCAGCATTTCTTAACCCGTTTTGCTGGTTTCCTTGGCGTGGCTTAAAATATCTTGTCCTTGAGGGGGAAAATGTCCTAAACTGAGATTTGGTTGCAAGCGTTTCGGAGGCCATCTGGATGTTCTGCAGCACTCTTTGACACACTAACATGTTACTTTTGCACGTACACGTACAGAGAGTTTTCACCAACATAGTGAAACATTGTGAGGTGCAGATTGATGATTGGATACACAATTTTGAAAAGATGCCCCCCTCACTGTGATTTAATGTGGCTGTGATGGTTTATAATCTGTTCAAAATACATCAGATATACATAAAAAAAGATGTAGAATCAGTTTCTCAAATCAAAACAGGGTAAAAGTACATAAGAACTTTTTGTTCACATGGTGTTCTCTCAAGTAACACGACTATAAAAGCTCAATTTCCAAAGTATTGATCATAACTTTTGTAACACATTGCCCTGTCAAGGACCCAGCCATGGACCCAGTTTGGCCCACGTTGAAAACGAGTGGTGTACCAGATTTTTTCTCTTATCTTTATAAAGATTAGATCCTTTTTTGCAATATATTACACAACAGCTGTGTGAGGGCCAGATTTAAAAGTTGCCACAAAGATGAATAAATATCTCTGTGACACTGCAAAAAATACTGAATGCTTATAAAATGTAAAACAGGAACAATGATAGAAAAAAAGATCATTTTTAGTCTTGTTGATTGATAAAGATTGATGAAGATTAATAATTTAGAATAACAGTCAACTCATGAGAATTATTTATCCCACACTGGAGTACTGCTGTAATATTGTTTTTATGATTTTCAGTATATCTAAAGCACTCAGAACCAGATTTTGGAAGTAGTATGGTGGGGGGGGACTTCTTGTACCTTTTACATTTAATTTGATGACAACTGAGGGATTTTATTGGGCATTTGGATGGAAATTTGTTTTTAACTTACCCCCTTAAAGCCTGAGTCGATTATGATGAACAGAAAATGATTATTCTTTTAATCCAAAAGTATTTTGATGGACACTTTGAAAAAGAAAATACAAATATTTGATTGCAAATATTTAAGTCAAATGTGCTTAATATTTTCTTCACATTTATAGTATAATCTATTTTCTTTAAAATAAGTTTTAACCATAAAGTGATGAAAATCTATGCAACAAACATGATAAACGTGGTTTTAAGGGGTTAGGGCTCCATTGTGTCAGAGGTCTGTCAAACAGAAGAAGAAAAGAAAATCCACAATGGAAGTTTAGGTTCCAAATGAACAAGAATACTGCCATCTAGTGGTATCTGCACACATCTACTTAACACCCCAAATACTGAACTCACTCAAACAAATTGGATTCATAATATATGGCTTACATTACACCCTGTTCATATAATGCCGGAGGCTGTGGAAGAACCCTTCCAGCAAATCTACTCTGTTATGAGTCCTCTGTCCACTGTGAGGTATTACCAATAAGATGGGAAGTTGATGATATGATGTATGGATGGCTAAGGTGAACGTATTGTTTTAACCAAAAGGGCACCAGCTGCAGTCACACGTTTGTGGCGTCGAAAGTGGAAATCCGACCTATTGGTTTAGTGCAGATGAAAACACATTCGCCCTGACCTTTCCGCTTCATTACCTGCCATGATACCTCATAAATTGAGGAGAATACAGTGCTGCTGTCATGCTGAGGAAGGAGCTTGAGCCTTTTTTTTTTTTCTTCACAGCATTTTTTTTTCTTCCTGGTGTGAAATTCAGTTGGATTGGCTTTGCTTTTCCTGAATTTGTATTATTAACTTAAAGGCAAATGGAACCTATTTCATTTTCCCAAATATAAAACATATAATAAAAATATCATTAAATTACTCATACATATATGGGACGTTAAATTTTAATAAGAAATGCTCTGTGATGTAAAATTTTGCCACTGACATGATAAGATTAAGGGTTAAACAATTCATGACTCTATCTCAAATATGAAACAAATTTAGGGTTTACAAACATACAGTTTTTATTTGGCAGAAACTACATGATCCCACCCTTTGAAACTTAACCAATATTGATGAGCAATACTCTTTTTAGTAGGAAAGTTTGTTGATTTATTAAATTCAATTATCTTTGGCGACCTCTGCTGTTTATTTTCATACTTCATGAGACGAAATTGAAATATTGAAAATTTGTCTTTTAATGGCGCATTCACTCAAACAACAAAGGTTTCAGAAAATTTAGTTTCACATTTTTGTTTAAAATGCTTTTTAAGGCCTTTACATTGTGCTGTTGAGAAATGGCTTTCATTAACATCCAGATAAGCCTATTTTAAACTCGTAAAAGTTCATTTTCAGGGAAACATTTGAAATTTAATCAGAATTAGAAAGGTGTTATGTGCCAAAATTCTGTCACAATTCTATCAAACTAACACAACTAACTAACAATACAAGATGCTTCCTTCATAAACTGAAGGTTTATTTAGTTTTATGCGTTACTGAAGCCAAACTGTTTAGAAAAGAAACCTCAATTGACTTAATCTTAGATATGACCTTAACTTCCTTCTGTCGAAGTTACTGCAGTTACTGCTTTATTTCCCAAAAGACCTTTAAAGAAACATCGTTTTTGAGAAGCAGATCAAAGCATCCCTCTAACTAAGCAAACAGCGTTAAACACAGCAGTGTGACACACTGTATATCATCTTGCGTACGACATCAGTAACAATAAATAAGACTAGTCCATGCCTGTGAGTCACCACAGAGGATAAATGTGAGCCTCCTGCAGAGAAATATGAATCTATAGCTGTGGCCTGCAACAGGCAGCCACCTCGGGCCTGTTTCTGTGTGAACGTCTCAGTAATGGCGGCGTGGTGGCGCCTTCCAGCAGGGATTACCACACCGTGTGCTCTGGCTCACCCACCGAGCGCGGTAATGAAGGAGGGCCCGGGGGGGGGAGGGCTGCAGGTTGCTTTTTAACAGAGTCTGACAACTCTGAACGTGACTGTATCACCGGAGATTAAAAGTGTATTAGAGATTGAAGGAGGAGGAGGGGGCTGCTGGGTGTTTTGCACAGTTTCCTTTGGACTTGCTCAAGTTAAAACAGCAGATCACAAGCCAGCAGCTTCAAGTTTTGAATGGGAAACTGGGAGAAAAGTGTTTCCGTTCACAAGGCACTCCTGTAGGTCCAGCTGCACTGACCGGTGAGCTGACAGTGTCTCAAAATGTCCAATCATTTATCACCGGGCCAGCAGACTCTAAATTACAAGTCTGTTGACAAATCACCGGGTTTATCATCATGTGATGCTGATAGAAATTTCAATTACAATTATTTTAACCAGACCATTGTCCATCTGAATGTTCTTCCAGGGCAAATCTTTGTGAAAAGCTTAATAATTAATCAACTCTAAGCAGAAAATTTCTTGTTTTCACTTTGTATGATGCAGGTGGTTATCTATATTTTGATATAAAAAACATATGTTTACAATGTGCAATGCTGTTTGCTGGGCAAATCTTAATGATATGTATATATATTTGCTTATATTCTCTTCAAGGAGTGATTTGCCAGCCTGTTGCACATGAACATATCTTTGATGAAAACTGATCATCTGTAGTTACGTTTTGAGCTTAATCAACTTTGGAATTTCTTTCCAAGCCAACAGTGAATCACCAATTAGTTTTTTTTGTGTTGCTACAGTTTGTGTCCTAATTTCAAATCTGCACCATGTCCTGTCCTGCCCAGATCTGCATCTGAACTAATCTAATATCTACACCCAGCACGAGTCTTACATTCTTACATGACTGGTTACAGGTTAGCTTCTCATTAGAGCGGCAGTGGTGATTTGTGTGGCCATAATCTTATACATTTTTTTGGTGTGAAATGTGTGCTCCAACCCCTCAGCTTTTAGCCGGCGAATGTAAAATGACAGCCCAGCAGCCCGTCTCCCTTCCAGGTCTCTGTGGATGTTCGGATCCTGCGGAGATCAGGCAGACAGAGCAGATCTTGGAGAGATCAATACTCCTTAGTGGATTTCCTATATCAACCACACAGAAATCCTACCATCTGTGACATATAGGTTGAGTGTATAAATCACTGCTGGATAGGATCCAATCCAATAAGTCCCCCTCCACACCGGCTGTTCTCGTTGGGCTGGAAATACTGTTGGCGCATAGAGGTGGATGAGTGGGGATCCAGGTAGCGACACCAGGTGGAGCATTCCTTTTTTTATTTGATTTTTTTCTACCAGTTTGTGATACTTCATTTGGCAGTGCAGCTGGTCTGATTAAACTCTATATTTTTGTCAATTATTATACCTTAATCTTGGCGTCCTCTGCTTGGGCTACTGGGAACCACACATCTAACAAAGGCAGGTAATTATGTATAACCTGAGGTGGACGTTACCCATATGCCCAAAGTTGCCAATATATATGAGGCTAGCATTAAGACCTGAAATAGAGGAGCCAAACAGAGATGTAACCAGACTGGATTTGTCCACTCACCTGTGAAACTTGTACATTTAAGCAACTGCTTATGTCTCGAAATAATTGTGCTTTTTCACCACCAGGTGACTCTGAATGTTGGAGATAATGACTCATATAGAGCCTGTAGGTGGGCCTATATGCATTGTGTTTTGATTTTTTTTATTTAAATTGATTTTTAAAAACTTTTTTATGATCTTTCACTACATCTTACACAAGTTCCTGCACTTTTAATGGATTGTTTTTAAAGGGGATGCTTTAGTTTTACGGAGGCAGGCCAGGATCAGTGTGGGTTCGCTGCATTACGCTATCGGCACACACCGGCGGGGATCCCCGGTGAGCGGAGTCTGCGCACACGATCCGCCTCATTTTTATTAAAGCGCCTGCCGAATGCCCCCCCCCCCCCACCCCCCCCCCCAAAGTTAGCATTGAACACACAGGACACAGGCCCCCCTCATTGAGAGAGATAGACAAACTTAAAATGTCCGAAAACCAATGCGATATATGGAAAATATTCATATTTTCTTTTTTTTAAGTAGTTATTTTTAGATATACGGATGTGTGAAACATAAAGCACGGTCACCTGAGCACACACCTTTTGGATACTAACACGAATCCCTGGTTTTGTCGAACTGGCAGCAACAAACAAAAGACAAAAGACGACACAACTGCAGGCAGAAGGTATTTATATCATTTATTGTCTTTTGTCTGGTTTACATGTATGTTCTGAAAGTTTGGCTGACATTTAACAGTTTCCATGAAACGAGACACACATTAAAACTGTGGCAAACCAACAAAGTAGACTCTATGGACAGCCAGGTGAGAGGATCTTCCAGGGCCTTCATATCAGACTTTAATTTCAGAGCTGGTTATATAATGATATACAATCTAGTGCACCAAAACCTCCTAGTGACTGCTTTTTAGTTAATAGGCTTCCTAACCAAACTTTATGCACTTGCACTCTTAAGCAAGAAAATAAATAAATAAAAAAAGTTCATATTTAGAAGTTAATTATATATGTGCTTCAAATGGAATAGATCAGCAGTCAGTTTACATAATGAGATTCCCTCAAACAAACAGGACACAGACATTCCACTTTTATTTGGTTTAAATTTGTTTGTATGACAAGCGTTTGATGCTTGTTTCAATAAGCTGCTCCTCAATAGCAGAATAAACCAAAGCAGGGCTGGAACTTTTGTTCTTTTTTTTTCTTTTTTTTCCTGAAATAGAGACGTGGATGCCAGAAATACAAAAAAAATCAAATAAAAAAAACAGGGTTACAGTATATTAGCATTGGGGAAAACTTGAAAGTATGACATCTGGTTTGAATGAACGCATGAGCCAAAGGAATATTTTTACGAGGCGTAAATATTTTACACTTGAGTCAACAGCAGAGTGACTTACAGCGACTTCCATGAGTGAGAAGTCCCGCCGTCCACTGATGCTCGGGCTGTGCTGAGTTATTGGCTGCTCCCACCACAAGCTGCCGCTGGCAGGATGGCACAAAGCAACAGGCTCTGCGAGTAGCAGACAGAAATATGTGTTGATCTCCGTGTGCAATTCGACAAAAACGCAGCGAGTCGTTTTGCAAAGGTGATAAGCTGACCCATTTTCGGCCCAGCAGAAACAATGCTCCACGTTTGTTTGTTGGTCAGAACGGCCGGATTCTTCTGGGGTTTAGCTTTGCGTGCAGTCGAGTTCTGGATCACTCATCACTCTGAGCTGTCAGTTAAACACAGGGACAGTGGTTGGTTGGTAATTATTAGGTTTTATTTGCATGGCGCAATGAGTGGTTTAAGCTCTATATACACTCAGAGGTGATCAACTGTTAGCATGAATCAGAACACAAATGCAGTGAGACTAAACAAACACAAAAAAGACTTATTTATAGATTTATTCATGAAAATGTATGCAAGCCCATCATCATCTATGCATAAATGCAAAGATATATATGTATATGTGAGTGTGTGTGTGTGTGTGTGTGTGTGTGTGTGTGTGTTTGTGTGATTTAGTCATGTTGCATAGTTGCCAACCATTTCATATCAACAGAAAAACTCCAAACTCCACTCCCCCTCTGAAGCTTGTCAGCGGTGGGTTCTGATTTGTGGCAGCTCTCAGCTAGCGTTTTTCATCCTGTTGTTTTTTTTTCTGCATTTGTGTGTTTTGCTTGATCTCAAATGATGTGTAAAGACAGAGGGAAGAAAGGAAAGAAACGTCAAACACGAGATATTTCAAGAAAGCAGCTTTCAAACGTTGCATTCGAGGGAGAGAACCTCCCTCAGTTTGAATCTGAAACACTGAAATGAGTAGTTAGTAGTTTTTTTTAAATGATTTTAATCATTTTCACAACTCATTTGAACTGATGTGAGGAAAGATGACTCTTTTGCACGATATGTTTTTAATGCACTCTGCACGTGAAGCTAGTATGTTATCAAATTCAGAAGGAAAGAAGGAAAAAAAAAAAACACAGAACAAACAAAAGCGCTCAGTTGTAATTTTCTACCTGAACCAGGAGCCTGGGAAACTATTCAGGCAGGCTGCTGCTCAGACACAGACTCTGGGTGGCTGACGGAGGCAATCCCGGGGTAAACGTCAATTAAGACGTTACAGTAGATGACAGGCCTAAAAGAAAACAGCGGGGAGGGACGCCATCGGAGGCTCCACTGTGTAAACTCAATGTGTCTGAACAGGACGCCTGGGCTGAAGCTGAGAGGCTAGCAGCTTTGGACTCGACGGGCTAACATGAAGGGGCATGACGGGGACTCTCTGACAGGTTGCGCCCGCAGGCCTTTGCCAACGACTCTCTCTACGCACGCGGTGCTCGGGTTGCTTTTATAAGAGTAAAGAAAAAACTCAGGGATCTGGAATAGTTACGTGAGGTGTAACTGGGACACTGTTCACATTCCGAGCGTGTGCAGTGGAGTTTTGTTGGCTGCCTATGATTAGCCTTAATGCTAATGCAGTTGTGTGTGGGAGGGGGGGTTGGGTGGGAACCCTCTTTGTCTTTAGTAGACGTGCACAAACACACCTGAGTCCTCCTACAGAGCTGATACAAGCATTAAGAAGGAAAATAGTTTTGTAGTTTTTGCTGCATATCCACACCTCAGGATTTCAATCCAATCTTTTAACTTCAGTTCACATTACTGCTGCTCACTTTGCTCGTGGTGAAAAAAGAAAAAAGACGAGGCATGCTTTTTAACACTGAAGTTAGAGCTTTGTGTGTTTCCTCTGATCGATGCTGATATTTCCAGCACGGTCAATGCGTCGGGATTGATTCGGAGGAGGAAAAAAAAAAACCTCTCAGAAGTGTATGTTTTGTTTTCTTCCGTCTTTAATAGAACTTCAGAGAGCAGGAAGTCGGTGCGTCATGAAATTGGCCCCGGTTATCTGCTTTCACACGCTCCGGCCCGCCGCCTGCCCTCAAACTCACCACACGGGCCTTCAGACTCACACAAATGGCACATGTATGCTTAACAAACACGCAACAGACACGGGCAGCGGGCCCTAGTGCACCCACTCTGAAACGAGCAGGAAAAAAAACGGCTTTTGACGTCTCTAAACTCAAGCATCAGACAAACACACTTTTCACTTTGCGACTACAAACAGACGCAAGATGAGCAGAAAGTACATTCAACGATAATCTGACGCAGACTGTTATTGTTTTAGCCGAGATGGATGACAATGAATCTGGCGGGGAGCTTTTTCCTCGGGCCTTAGGTGAGGGTGAGAATGTGTGAGGTCGCACCATGTGACCTTTAGCTGCAGCTGACGGCCCACCATTGGTTCCTGGCCAAACACTCAACCGGTCACCTCCCCCAGACGGCACGGCCCCCCTCTCTGCTGCCGGACTTAAGGCCAAACCCATGGAGCTAGTTAGGGGTTAGCACTGGCTCGATGCGGTGCTGTGGGCAGCTCACAAAAACTACACAAACAATGCACCTTAGCGTGTGTGTGTGTGTGTGTGTGTATATATATATACTGTATGTACATGTAGATACAAGTGAAGTATATATGAGTACAAATGGGTGCTTTTTTGAGGCACAGCTATCTCACCTACTGACAAATTTGCTTTTAACAAGCCGGACATCTCTGTCTATTTGGAGTGCTGCTGCTGCAGTGGTTTAATTTGATTTTGTTGCTTCATCGCCTCCTTCAAAAAATAAACTATTGATCAGAGCCACCCTGCATGCTCTGAAACATCCGGAATCTGCGCTCATTATCTCATCCCATATTCCCCAACTCCCACATTTCCTGCTTGTTCCGTCCACCCAGAAAACATTCAAAGATCTTTTAAAAAGGGGTAGAACATTTTAAAATAGATTCACATACATAGTTTTTGAAATGCTAATACAAGAATAGTATGAAAAAATGAAGGATTTCAGATTGAAAACACATGCAAATCTCTAACAACTGGGTGAAATGACCCTCAAACCCGTTTCCTAAAATGAGAAATATTCCCAGTTGAAAAACCATCCCCAGCAGCTTCTGTAAAAACTGCAATTGGAAAAAATAGTCTTCTTACCGGATGATTATTAAACCTCCCCGTGTTTCTTCCCATCCCCACTGCATGAATATTGAGAGGCTGTTAATTATTTAGACTGGAGGTGTAACGATACATGTTCGGATATTTGCACTTGCTGGCTTTTTTTTATTTGAATTCCCAGCGGCGTGGAGGTGTTTTCCACTCCCCCTGCATCACTTGTTTGTTTTTCTATTCTGTCTCTCTTTTAATCAGCAGGCGGAACAAATCTCACATCAGGATGTGCTGCTGTGTTTTAGGAGCCAAAATGAGGCAGGAGAGGTGGGAATTTAACTTAAACCCAGATTGTTGTTGGTGGTGCCGTCACCTACATGCTAATGAATTAGACTCATTGGGATGTATTATTTGTAGTTACTCTCAATGTTGTTTTTTTAACGCATTTGGAGTAATCCCATTTTACTTTTTGAGTAGACACAATACCAGTCAAAGTGCAAGCAAAAATCAGTTTCTTCTAACGTGAATTGTTCTAAATTGAGGCCCATTTTACTCTGCACCTTTTCATTTTAAATTTAGGTTAACATATTTATTTAGGAAATATAAATTGGGTCTTACCTTGCGGGTTTGCTTGAGAGAAGGGAGGCTAAAAGACCTTAGTCCTGAGCACCGTCCAAGCCAACTCGTCCTGTGAAGCCTCTTTTCTGGGGGTCACCCCTCGCGTGTGGATTCTGCGGATGTGTATTGAGGCCGCAGACTTGTGTATTCGCCCCGAGCTTTTTATCCCCCTTGTCTGTCAGCTGATTATTGTTCTGCGTTAGCAACTCCATCAAAAGGTGACACTTGTGTAGCTTCTTAGGGGGAAAAAACGCTAAGCGTGACGCGCCGAGGCCGAATGACGCGCGCGGAAAGCTCAGAAACGGAGAAAGAAAAATGCTGATGGAGTCTGTTATGTGGCAGTTTTGTTAAAAAAAAACGACATCAGAGACTGGGTTATTTCACCTAATAATATACCACATAGAAAAGGGGCCTTAAAAGCAATCCAGATTGACAACAGATCACGAATCTGATAGAATTTTCAGATTTAATTAGCTGTTTTTGCGGTTTTTTACGCTCATTAGACAGTTTCTCTTCCCATATCTAACGGTTCAAACAGATGTAAATAAAGTATCTAAAATGATGGGGGTCAGGACACACACACGCACGCGCCGGGGCGCGCTCAGGCTGCAGGCTGACTCGGGTCCTCCTCCGGGAGGTGTCGCGGTGTTTCCTGCGCCCGCAGCCCGCAGAGCTGCTCTCTCCCCCCCGCCTACCCGCTCAGCCCCGGCCCTCATTCCTCTGCATAACTCCCCAGCGTGTTTGCTTAAGCTCGCGAATCATAAGTTTGTTTTGCTTTGTCGCGTTCACGCGCTTTCAGGCATCGGCTTAAAAAAGGCGCAACGCCACAAAAGAAAACAATGGGGGAAAAAAACAAACAAATGCAGGTAGATTCCAGGATTAAAAGAAGGAACAGTTACATTTCCCAATTAAAAAGCAAAAAAAAAAGAGAGCAAAACTATCTTCAGGCTGTGTGGTAAAACGCCAAACTAATTATCGCCATCTTGGTCGAATTCTGTGCGCAATAAATTTAAACCAGAGGATAATATTCGCCGTTGTTTATTGCGGGGGATTCTAATAATCCTCTTGAGAGAGCTTTTCTGAGATCAAACCCAGGAGGAGGACAAGAGGGAGGACAAAAAATCCTAATAGGGTGTTGTCTTAGTTGTGTGGTCCGGCTCGCTTTTTTTTTTTTTGTTGATTCCCGTGTTATTTCAAGCCCCACTGCCCAGGCAGACATGTATTCAGCCGGTAATCTGACGGTGCTATGTGTATTGGAGCCCCACATTGTTTTCCTCTATAGATTAGCCGCACAAGCACCTCACATAATCGAAAGGCTATAGACACACTGTCATTGCTCGGCACTCCACTAACAGACTTCTTGCGCAAAGATTCAATAAATTAAATTAAAAAAAAGTCCCCCAGCAAGTATGTTTTTGAACAATATATTTACTTCCATTAAATAAAACACAATAGTTTTTTGGATGTTGGAAAAAAAAAACATAATTCCGTACCAAATATTATACACAGAGCAAAAAACCAAATCATTTTGTCGCAGGAACATTTTTGGATGCTTTCTTCTTTTTTTTTTTTAATCTTTGAAATCCAGAACTGCTATTCTAAAACGATATTCACACAGACATTAATAATAAATTTATAATATGTTAGAAACACACGACTGGTGCGTTTTAGTATGTACATTCCCTTTTTGTTTTGCAAGCGAAAGATGATTCCTTTTAAGGGGTTTTCTTTTTTCTTTTCTGTTTTTTTTTTTTGTTTCTCCACATGCGTTGATAAATTGAAGTCGAAGAGGACTGGAGGGTTATAGCGCATTCGCCTCAACAACACAGGAGATGATCATTCAGATATATGTACAACCTTTTTTCAGTCAACAGTTAACGTCCAGAGTTCACCAGAGAAAAAAAAAAACCCTCACGAAGATATGAAAAGTGGAACAAACCGTTTACGGAGGCGCAGTTTGGAGGCAGCCCTGGGCTCATCGAAGGGAAGGAGAGTGGGGGGGGGGGGGGAGGTTAACCTTAAAACTCTCGTTTCAGTTTGGGCTCCGTTAGTTGAGCTTGTTTCAGTGGTTCAGTCTTCTAGTGCCCTTTTTGAAAAATGACAAAAGTAGTTGTAGTAGTCTCTTGTTCCGGTGGACGGCTGTTTGTGATTACCCACACACTGCAAAAAATGACCGCCATAACAAGCCATTTTGGTTTCACAATCACCCTGAAAAATCAGGCTTCTTCTCTAAATAAATACGAATGAAAATCAACGTACTAACACGAGGCGATTTTAAATTCTAACAGTATCCTTAAAAAATAAATTGTAGTGATTCTAATGACACCAAAAGCAGTTTTTTTTTTAGCATCAAGTCAAGATAATGCGACACTAACTGCATGGGGAAAAAAATGGCAGAACCAAGAAAAATGATTAGAAAAAAAACGATCCAATGATTTTACGCATGGGTTCTGTTGCTTCGGTTAAAGCTAAAAAAAAAAAAAAAAAGAAAAAGAAAAAGCGTCACGTCTTGCCTCGGACATCTTGCTAAGATGGTTATTTTTTGCAGTGCAGGTATAGGCATTAGACCGGCCTGTCCACGGCGTACTGGCACGCGCTCAGGTTGGTGGCCGGGTTCTGCACACTGGCGTATCCAAAACTCGAGTGCTGCTTGGCTTTCAGTCTCAGGCTGGCCAGACTGGAGTTGCAAGTGTCCCGGTACACGTAAGGGGGGGTCGGGGGCGCGTAGGGACACGCCGGCGTGGGCACGCCGGAGTTGAGAGATGGGTTACTGAGGTTGTTCAAGTTGTTGAGGCTGTTGAGGCTGGAGCCCGGCACCCCGGTGACGGCCGACGGCACCATGCTCGAAGTCATGGAGGAAATGGAGTTGGGCGGAGAGAACATCGTCTGCGAGGACAAAGGGTTGACGTTCATGGAGTTGAAGAAGGGGAAGCTTTTGGTGGACAGGGAGGCGGACGTCAGGCCCTTGGCGGCCCAGTTGTTGTACGTGTAGCTGGGGTACATGTCGTCGTAGGGCTGCATGAGTCCATTAAACTGCGGACCGAAGCCGTTCTTGCAGAGCTCGGCTTGCTGGTTTCTTTCCCTTTTCCTCCACTTGGCTCTCCTGTTCTTGAACCAAACCTGGGGGGAAAAGCAAAATTATGCATTTTATTTAGAGGAAATCAATTCCTTTTGTTACTGGTTGCAAATTCAAAAATAAATAATCATAAATGAATATTTGAGCATCACGTCTAATTGATTCTAAACCCAGTTCAAATACAACCAACGTGAAATATTTCCCAAAACTTAAAAGAAAAAAAAAACAAGATAACCTTTCCATTTACTGTGCAGATGATCCTGCTTTAATTCCACCTCTATCTTAGCAGAGTACACACCGGTCTCAGTGGAGCATCTTAATGTGGAGAGGATGTGTATTCCTCTGCATGCTGCCACCAACACACTGACCTTAATCACACAACGTCAGGGCGATAATCACAAAATACAAGCTTTGCACCTCTTTTACACTAACAGAAGAACACGACTGGTATCTGTCACCGACTAATGTCAATAAGCTCAACTGTTAACAGTGTTTAATTACACCTAATAGACTTTCATTTATTTAATTATGGTCGAATTTGTTTTAAGATATACGTAAAATATTATATAGTATTTGCAGTTTGATCTAAATTTCTGTGGTATTGTTTATTAGTACCTAATTATGGCCTTAAATGTAATTAAATTCTGTTTTCACCAGAATTAAATTTGAACACCCGGACTATTACATTAATTTATTGAATTTTGGCTGTGCGTAAAGGCTCTCCTCCGTGCGTAATTATCGTAGAATATTTTACCAATTATTCTAACAATTCGTCAAACGATCAGAGCGAGCACACTCATTAGTTTTTGTTCACACTCAGGGGCGCACTCACCCTGACTCTGGCCTCTGTGAGATTGGTCCACACGGCTATCTCCTCCCTCGTGCTCATGTCCGGATAGCGGTTCCGCTGGAAAGTGGCCTCCAGTTCCTGGAGCTGCTGGCTGGTGAAGTGAGTCCTCTGACGCCGCTGCCTCTTCTTTTTGGAAGGGTCATCGGAGGAGTCGTCAGTTTTATTTTGTATTTTTTCTTTTTCTGTTAGGGGGTTGAGTTAAAAGGCGAGATGTTTAAATCAGGACCTGGCATAGACAATATACACACATATATACAGAACAAAATGCAGATCCATGACTCTTGTGGACGATAATTAAGAAAACAATTGAAATAATTTGTATGTTTTTGGTTTGATTGCCTTTCTTGAATGTATGGCCTTTTAAAGTCATGAGTTCATGACGATAGAATTTTAATTTAGAAAAATAATCTGGCTAATTTTAGTTGACATAAGACAAACAGCATTTCATCTGCACGACAGAGAAACTTCGCACAGGAACACACACACACACAGGCCACACACTCCATCTGGTACGGTGACAGCTCCAGGCTCAGACCTGCTCTTTCTCCGTAAAAACCAAACTAAAATCACAACGGCACGCGGAGCATCTCTCCCCGGTTCTTACCGACTGACTCCGGACTGGACGTGTCCGACACAGTGTGCACCTCTAACCGGTGCTTAGAGTCCACAGACCGCTGCAGCGGCTGTAAGCTGGACGCCATCGCCAGAGCCGTGTGGTGTGAGTTGGCGAGTTTATTCCCTGTCAGGTGGTGGTGATCTGCGTTTAATGGATCCCTCATAGAGTTCATGGGTAGAAGATCGCACGGGCTTCAGGACGGGAAGGACAAACAAGCAAGTCCGACCGAATGTGGAATGTGTTCTGCTCTCCAAAAGGGCGCACGGCAGTGGAGATCTTCTTGGGGAGATGAATGCCCCCTCGTCGTCTTTAAGCTAGAAAACGCTTTAAAAGAGGCCATCGAGTTGAGCCATGGCATCGGGGGAAAAACGGCGCACCACCTTGACTGACTGTCGGAGTGACAAGGACAGGTATAGGTGGTATTAGATCCAGAGGCGTGCACGCACTACGCCGCTCGCTGCTCATTTCAGCTGTTGCCCGCGCGCCCGTCTCTCCAACTCCGTCTCTCTCCAGACCCCTCCACGTCACCGCTCTGCGCCCGCCCATATTCTCCCTGACAGGCACGTCCATGTGGATGTGACGGCGTGCCCAACCAACCGGAGCTTGCAGAAACGAGATATGCCTGCCAATATATTTATGCCCCCCCCCCCCCCCCCCCTCTCCCCTCCAAATGAAAAGCATGTAAAGAGAGCTGGGACGCACGGTGTATACCCGCGGCGTTGCGCAGCAGCCCAAGACCAAATAAAAAATGAAAATAACACAGTTTGGCCTCATTTTATGAGACGGGTCCAGTGGCCCACTAAAGCGATGGAGTGCCGTGGATACACGAGCTGAGCTGAGCTGAGCTGAGGTGCGTGCACGCGGGCTCCGTGGCCTTTAGTTTACTCTGAGGCTCAGCCCCGGGAGCCCGGTTGTAATTAAAGCGCAAAGAAAAAGTGGATGCACTGTGAATATCAAAGGCAAACACCTCCTACACCTCCAAGAGGTCCTGCTAAAGGACAAACAAACGTTAACTTCCCAAAAAAAAAACAGGGGTGAGTCAGAGCCGGACTGCCCCAAAAACTGCCACCTGCCAACCAACGCTGCCAGATGGGCAAACTAGGTAGAAATACGGAATAAATCAAACAATGCTGTTTTTTTTGCACGATGCATCGTGCCAAACAAGTGAGAAGTTCAAATGGCACAGAGCAATTTAGTATCAGTCCACCATCTCTGCGTCCAGGAGGGTCAGTCATGCTAGTTTCCAAGGGAAGCGATCCTCTTGACCCCCCCCCCAGTGATAAAGCCCACGAATTCATCAATTCAGCGCACAGGTTTACAGTTCACCACACAGACTCGCTTTGCTGACCACGGATTAGTTTATCAAGGCCCTTAATGGGATCTGTCCTCGCTTTGCCGATTCATTCTCAATATTTTTTTCCCTTAAAACCAATCTGACAGCACGTGCATCTATATGCCTGATCTTCAACTGATCTGCCACCTTAAGAAAATAGCCAAATACAATAAAAAAAATCCCCCAAAATGTCCACAAAAAAAGCAATTGATCGTAAAAGTGGGAGTTTCCTGGCTCTTCTTATTTATTTATCTTTTGGTCTCAAAGCGAAAACATGGAGGGGGTCTGGGTCTGGGGGGGATGTTAAATTCATTATCGTCATCATCATCAAAAGTGATCTTCCAGCCGGCCACGTGGCCAGGCCGATGTCCATTCAGCCTGCCCATTTGGACTTGGCGCAGTTAAGAAGTTACGGCTAATCCCGTGAAAGCCCCTCATATATAAATACCACCAGACCACGGAGTCCACGCAGTCCGCACGCGCGCACACACACACACACGCACACAGAAATACTGAGAGCACGCATAATCAATGCTAATGGATTGATTTAGCTTAATTCGTCATTGTGGTTGTTATATGAAAATATAATAAGGCATCAACGTTTCAAACCCTGAGAGTGAAGGCCAAAAAGCACTGCGGTTAATGTGGATGCAATAATAGTATTAATAGTAATGAAAAAATAATGATCTTCGAATTTGAACGGTGTGCTGTTCCTTTTTTTTCTCTTCTAGGTGTATTGTAATGCCAAATTTGAAGTGGATTATCAGTTTCCTCTTCATTTCTACCTTCTGCATGCTTTCTCTCTTCAGCGGATTACTGCGTGCAATAGGCCCCCACTACAGAGAGCCATTAATTAGCAATTCAGTCAATATAGGGGGAGACGACAAGGCTTTTTTACATAGGATTAAGAAGACATCAGATTCCTCCATTAGGATATTCCTCCTCACGGATGGGCTTTCATTATACATTTGGTTTTCCCTGGAGTCAATTCCAACGAGAGCTGCATATTTTACGACATTAGAACCGATTGTTTGCGGCTCCCGAGCACAATTTGGACTCGAATTGTCTTGTTTTCTCTTAATCAATGGCCGTTCGGTGGGAAACCGGTCCTCTGTCCCCTCACCACCCGCATCAGCAACGACTGCGTCAAACCGAACCAGAGTTACCGGCCATTCATTGTTTTTTTTCCCTTTAGACTCGACGTAATCTCCCCACCACTTCAAAAAATAATTAATTTCTCCTAGGCCTTGTTTGGGATTTCGGATTTGAGTTGCCTCATTGTTGGTTTTAAAGGATGCTGCAGCATCCGGAAGACTTTGGCTGATTGTATGAGCGATTATGGGGGAAAAAAAAGGTTTCCTATATGAGGAGTTTGCTGGGAAACATGCAGGATGATCCTTAAATGTGACAATAATGAATACGCTTCCCCTAAAAAGGAGTCATCAACTTCTCCTGGATGGTGATCACTCCCATCAAAGATGAGCTGATCGATGTTTTGCAGCCAGCAGATGTCGCTCTAAGACAGCTGACACGTTTTTATCCGCGAGACTTTGTCCAGAAAACCGTCACAGAGGTCGAAATATATTCGCAAAAAATACCCAAAATAATTTAAAAAAACAACACAATCAAGATAAAGTTAGAGCTGCCTAAATCAGATCTTTTAAAATTTTATTTTAACGAAGCTGGATTTTATTTCTACCACAAAAAGCACCTCCAGCCTGAGTAATGTCTGAACATCATTAGCCTAGTAGAGGTTGGCTTTTCCTCCATTTTTTCTCCCTTTTTTGTCATATATTAAGGGTATTTTCAAATGTTATCTGGTCTCTCTACATTAAGAAACACCTAAGCATTAAACGTCCACTTTTGCCTGTTAATTACCGTAATATTTGGAGAGCAACAGGCAAGGAAATCAGCATTTGTCTGTAATATTCAGAGGGCCATTATGATTGGTGGTAAATATTGACAGCTTTCTTATTTGTAGAGTAGAAAAAAACATTTAAAAACGTGCTACCTTTTGCGGCAGAATGAAAACATCATGCGGATTTTTAGGACATAATTGGTACCCACCTATTTGCGCGCAGGTGGTGGCCAGTTTGCGACAGTGGGACTCCATTCTCTCAGTCTGAGGACGCTTCTTCTGCAGGGAAAAACAGACAAAAGAGTCAATGTTGGTCTTTATGAATGGGTGCGTGCAGTTCATAATTTTGGACACAACAGAAAAGCAAAATGAACTGAGATATCTTCGAAGAAAAGCTAAAGACCAGTTTAAAATGACTGTAAAATCCAAAATGTTTCAAATACTGGGCACGTGAATGAGTTACAATAATCCTGGCCTTCTTTATTTATATTTTGCAAGTAAAAAAAAAGTTGAAAAAATATATATCTTAATGAGTCTGGATTTTTAAGACTTTATTTATGATATAAATTCTTCAATATGTGATGATTTATTTATTTATTTTTTCTATTTTTACTTCTGCTAATTAATTCCACGCTGGCAGGAAATATGCCGGAATCAAACCATTCTGCAGTTATAACAAATGATGGTTTAAAAATTTTAGTGGCTTGTTTTTATTCCGTCTGTAAAACCCTTCGTGTTTTGCACGACTCGGATTTCGTGTTTTGAGGCAGTCTGCTGCAGTTGGGAGTGGAGTGATTCCGTGGTAAAATCACGGGATTAGAGTCTGATTGAGATGTCTGTCGGTGGGATATTACAAAATTCATTATCGCTCCCCTCATACTACCTCGATATGAAGTTACACAGATGGGTTTTTATTAGTCCAGGCTCACACTGTTTGCTTATGATAATTCAAGTCGGGGGGAAATTTGCATGCAGCCATGCTGTTAACCATTTTCCCCAGTTCCTCTCTTCACCTGCTCTACATGATCTGCGTGGGTACCCCCCCCCCCCACACCCCCTCTCCCCCTCCTCCCCTCATTGGGAAGATGCAGATATTGGAGGTTAAGTTTTACACGGGCTGTACCTGCGCAGCCTCTCCTCTTCTAGCCTCGCTGCAAAATGAAAAAGCGAGGGCCAGGCTGTAAGGTGGGAGGTTATTGCACGGGGCGCCGTGTTATCTAATCAGAGAGATTTAATGAGAGGTGCCTCCAATATTTCCGCCTGTGGCTGCACGGCGGCCTCAGAAGAAAAAACGCCTTTCAGTCACTCGTTCCTCGAAAGAAATTGTTTTATACGAGAGAAAAAAGTGGGCAAAAATATAATAGGGATAAATTATTATCCCTTTTCTTTTTATCTGTTTGGAAAACAACAAATTTCCCAATTAGGATTTTTTCCAAATCAGAAATGTACCCATTTAACAAGACCAAATAATAAAGGATGTATAGAGATTACTACAATAAGAAAAAGAAAAAATGATATATTGACACTGATTTGATAACGAATATAATGGAAAATGTCTTATCTATCCCTTAAAGTGAAACAGTAATGATGATAATATTCCATTAATTTTAAAATATTGAGTGGGATTATTTCTGTTTTGACAGCATGCCACTGTTTTTTTCATTGTTATTATTTTTTAAATGAGCTGCATACGCGTCCCGATCACAACTATCAATCTCGTCCACCCATTCATTCTCACTTCACGGACTCTCGTTGCTCTCAGCACCAGTTGATGGGACTCAGTGGCTGCCATGGCACCGGGCCCAGCGCGGACAGAAAGCTGGCAGTGCCCCCCAACGCGCTTTACTTCAGAAATTAACACAGTCGAGCATGAGACTGCAGCCTTTTTACCGGGACATGATCCGACTAACCTCCACCATATGCTCCTGTTTTAACGACAAGGCGTGGGACCGTGAACGTCTCACCTTCTCCTTCTTTTCTTCGCACTTTTTTTAAAGAAAAAGGAGTGCGCAGGGGGGGGGGACGCACCTGAACTCGCTTTTATCTGCTCCTTGACATCATTTGGGGTCGTGATTAATGAAAGAGGCAACTCCCCCCCCTGCGATTTAGTTTGGGGCTAGTTAGAACTGAACGTCGTTTTTTTAAGGTTTTTGAGCTCGGAATAGTGTTAAAACACGCGCGTTCTCGCGTTTCAAAGGACAGGCAAAAAGCACGAAGTGGAACAAATTCCTTCACTTGCATTAACTCACATCTCGGCTCTTTTTTTTTTTTTAAGTGTCTCCACTGTACTCACCACTTGTGGAGACCGGTGGGGATCGATTTTCCCAGCCGTCGGCTTTTTTTTTTTTTTTTATTGCAAAACTGAGGAGATAAATCCCACCGTCCAAAAACTTACGAAGAAGCCACTGGTGGCGTTTTACAGCGGGGAAGGAAGGAAAAAAAAACAAAAAGAAAACAGGAAAACCTCGAGGTCCAGTGGGAGTCAAGTCTGGGTCTCTGTCCGTAAATGTGAGCGTTGCATGGATGTGCTCCGACGCAGAGTATCCGAAAAGAGACGGAGCCCTACCTTTTAGGTTTGTTTCATTTATGCGCATAAATAACCATCTATTTACAGTGGGAAGAAAATAGGGAAGGAGGCGCTTTCACCCGAGTCTCCCCCTGGCTCGTCCTCTTCTGTCTTCTCTCAACTTTTTCCTCTCTCGAAAAGACGCTCCAAGAGTGGCGCAATTTTTCCAGCTTTTGAGCTCAGAGAAGGGACCCCGCGCGTCGACCGCGTGCGCGCTTAGAAAGGGGGTGTGTGTGCGTGTGTGTGTGTCTGTGCGCGCGTCTGTGTAGTCTATAGCAAAGGGCAACTCGGAGCCTCTCAACTTTCAGCAACAATCAAACCCCAAAAAAAAAAAAAAAATCCAGAGGCATCTTTAAAAGGCAAGTGTTGGGTGCGAAAAAAAAGGGCCCTCCCCTCTGAGTTTGACTCAATCCCCAAACGCATGCAAAACACACGCGGGCTAAAATTTGCCTATGACAAACCTGCTATTCACAACCACTCAACGCTTGATATCCAAACTCCTCCAGAACAGCTCGATTCAGCCTCGAACATTTAGATTATACGAGTTATATTTTTTAAGGCATGCAATTAATCCAATTAGGATTGACATTTTTTTACTCAGTCCAGATTGACACAGTTTAGAACTGAAACAAACACTCATATATATATAAATATATGTATGTGTATAAATAAAAATAATTTCACATTTATTTGTGATTGCGAAAAATCTGTATTGTTTTTCCAAAATGACTCAGACTTGTGCATTGAGCTCGTTCGAGGCCAGACAGAGAACTATCGTGTTGCAGATTTATGTGCAGATGAAGTGAACAGCTGGTTCGGATGCAAATGTTCTTTATAGATCCGTTTCGTTAGATACAGACTTGATTTTCCATTCGCATTTTAAGTGAGGCGAGCAGACCGGACGTAGGGCTGCCTACCCCTAATCCGTCTTTTACATTTTTAGTCATACTCCCATTAAATCGGTAATTAATGCGCACATCCACACGGGAATTTCCAGGCAAAAAGAGGGGGACACTGAGGCAAAGCGGGCGCGCATCGCTCCTGCCTCCACCCCTGACCAAAATATGAAAGAGCGAGAATGCGCACGTCATAAATAAAGAGTCTTATAGTCTTACAGACGTACAAAACAAAGGTAGCAGGGGATGGCGTCGCTAATTTCGATAGATGTTGGGCCTATTGCGAGTGGAGACACACAGATACGTTTAATTACGGAGAAAACCCCCTTTAATCTTCTTCAAAGGCCCGTGAATATCATATTTATTCAATTTCCTCTCGTCTAAACACACATGTGGATCTAGTGTGATGGGTTAAATGAATCCAATATGAAAAATAGATAAATAGCCCTATTTGCCTAAACAGCCTACTCTAATATTAAAGGTGACGTTTTTAACCTTTTACTATGAGGTGTTACGCATTGGGAGTCGCATGCAAACCAAAAATAAATAAATAAAACAAATTTTAAAAAAACTTGTGCGAAAAAAAAATGAATGCAAATAAACCGAAGCGAACCCGCAAAGAAAAACACCAACCCTGCATCATTTGGATCCACACACCTCACGCCCCGCCTGCACGGAGGAGGGGAACAAAAAAAAAAAAAAAAAACGCGCACGGCGTCTTGGAGAAGACGCGCGGATGCATACTCCTCTTACCTTCTTATACAAAGAAAAAGAAAAGAAAAAAAAAAAGCAGTCAAGAGCCTCCTCTTTCTCACGTAGAAAGGTGCAGAGGAATGCCTGAAGTTCAGAGGAGGCTGGCGGCTATGAAATCTTTCGCCTCGAGGGCAAACCGGCGCCTTCTTCTCATTTCAAGCGCTTATCGATTTGCCGTTGTCATCTTTGGCGACGCAGAAGGACACTTGAAAGAATTTCTGATGGGGCTGTGATGTGAGAAACGGGGTGACCTGCTCCGCTGATGTGCTCTCCTGATTCTTAACGAGCCCATCAGCCCGCCGGTGTCAGTAGAGTTGGACACTTAAACTTTTCCCTCCTACTGGAGAGGATTTTAAAACACTCTTTCCGCCTTTTTTTTTTTTTATATGTATATCAGGACAGCATCCAAGCTTCCACTTTGGGAGGAGTGATGATACTCTGCCCAGCCAGATAACACTATCTAAAAAAGGTGTTTTATGATTGTTTTTGCTAATGAAACGTGCACAAACGTTATCATTTACATATTAAGCTTCTTTGTGGAAAATATGATGTCATTATTTGCTCTTTTCTCTCTTGGACTTACGGCAAAATGCAGGCCTGTTGGTCTTTACAGCCATTTGCAAAGACTTGCAGATCTCCATTAATGACCAACTCGATTAGACCGGCTTTCGCCATGTGCCTTTTACCACCTCCAAAGCACCTTTAAGAAGATATTTCCCCAAAGCATTCACTGATGAACATGTGGAGTTAGTACACCACTGCTTATGGAAGCTTGGCTCATGTAGATATAAAGCAGTTCCATCATTCATGTCGTTTTTGCCTGAGAAACGAGCTTGAATTTATTTTTTTTCTTCTTCTTCTTCTTCTTCTTCTTCTTCTTCTTCTTCTTCTTCTTCTTCTTCTTCT